CAACATGAAAAGAGACTTTATAAACTACCAGTGACAAGAAAGAAAAGAAGCTTCAAGAAAGGTAGAGAATTAAGAAGATGCTTTAATTAAGCTGAAATATCTCCCTGTTAAAACTATAGAGATAGACAATGAAGTCCTGAAAAGAACTCTTTTAATTCATGATATAAGATCTAGAGAGGAATAGCGTTCAAAGTGTAAATTTGAGTAAAGAGTAATTATAGTATAATAAAGTACTAAGAGATTAAAAGCCTTGAGAGGCCATGAAAAAACTGTTGAGAAATTTAAAGCCCTGAGAGGCCATGAGAAAACTGTTTTCTAGTGAAGCTCACAGAAACAGATGAAGAAGACTTTTTTTTTGCCTTTGAATAACTTATCCTTAAAAATGTTATCTCTAGACACATGACCCATACTTACTTCAGAGTGATGTGAAAATGAGAAGAGCTAACATTAGGGCAATAGAAAACTATAACAAAAATAGTTTTCTTGTGAGAAACTCCATAAATTAACAGGAAGAAACTTCTGTTTCTCTATAAAGACTGGTGAACATACTAGCAAGAATTAGAACTGTTTTAGCCATCAAAGTTCCAGAGTTTTTGTCTCTGTTGTCATGTGAACAAGAGAATAGTGAGTGGATAAAAGATGGAAAGGTTTTTCTGAAAGTTTATTCTGGTGTTCTTATTATTGTAGTTTGTCAATAAACTTTCTTTTTTTTTCCCTTTTAAGTTGTATGCCTGTTTTGCTCTTATTCTAATCCATATCTCACAGCAAAAAGTAAATAATTTTCTTAGTTAGTAGTTTAAAACCACGACAACAACGCTGCCCGTGGTGGATATGTGCTGCATAGTATACTGCATTTTTCAGTCCTTTGCTTCACTCCAATTTCTGGTCTGCAGAAGCTGCATAGATTGATCCTGGCTTTCCTGAGCTGACTTGGTCTTTTCTTTGCTGGACCGCATAGCTCACAGAACTGCAGACTCCATGTCTGCTGGGGACAGCTGCAAGCACCAAGCAGGGAAACAATACAAAGTGCATGTTCTGTGGAATTCTCCGCCATTTCATTCTGGACCTCCTTGTAACGTGCCACACGAAGGAGCAAAGAGGTGCCAGTGCCACGGGTAACAGGAGAAGGCTTGCAGGTCAAGAGCAGGAGTTCAGCCCATGGCTTCTGGAAGCAGAGGAATTTGCAAAGCAGCTGAGTGCTTGAGATGCTGGAGGCCTGCCAAGCTGCCCGCTCTTGTCCTGGTGCTGAAACGCTGAACTTCAGTGCTCTTGAGAGCACCGCTTCCACCTAAATCCCACTGGAATCAGCATTTCTTAGCAGGACCGGCATTTGCTGAGGAACAGCTTCCACTGCTCATCATTTGGACAATTGACCCGGGCCATGTTTTGGAAAGGAGGTAGCCAAGTGAGTCTTTGGAGTTTGCTGCAAGGAAGAAGCCCTGTGACAGCAAGCAGCATTCCCAGGCTGCTCTCGGGGGAAAATCCCAACAAGCTGAAGACTCTGGGTGTAAAGAGGTAAATATGCTTGTGAGCTACCTTGGCCTGCAATGGCAAGGTGCTGGCCACAAAGATAAGGGGCACCTAGTGGCCTGATGTCCCGTTTCTGCATCTTTCTGGGAAGCAGAGGAATCCTTCCTCCGCCTGTGAGGAGCTCAGCCTGGGAAGCAGCAATACTTCCCTTCTGGTTTGGGTCTTGTCTTTTTTCAGTTTGGACAGCAGCTGTCCAGCCTGGCTGATTGGACCCTGTCAGCGAAGGCATTGCAGGGAGCCTGCAGAGGAGCCTGCAGTGGTGCTGGAGGAGGCTTTGTGCCGAGCCGGCTCAGGCCGTGCCGGCTCAGCGCAGGCCTGGCAATCAGGCGCCCTGCAGCCTGCCCTCCACGGGAAGATTCCCTTGCTCGTCAGGCTGCGCT